CATTAAACACACAAGATGAATGGAAATGTGCGCAAAACGTCGAGCTGAGTTTGCCAGCGTGAGCCGTGTCTATTTACTGCCGTTGCTTGATGATTATTTGACTTCAGTGTCTCGACTGCAATCCACAAATCTACGCTGATTCGTTCATATTAATGTGCTTTACATTAATTAAATCCCAAAGTCTACCAAAATACCATAATACCATAGTTAATGCAAATTCAACACAATGTATGATGTCAGTCCTGTTGAATAGCAAGTTACTGGAGTTTTTGGTAACACTTTACAGAGTCTGTATATACTGTATATATATATATATATATATATTATTTGAAATAAACATTTGAACATTTTAATGCATTAATAATTACGTATATGACCTCATGAATGCATTTTAAGTTTGGTTGCAATTCTTTCTGAAAATATTTAATGCACGTTACGAATGATCCATTACATGAAAGTTAAAGTTCCACCAAGTTTTATTAGATCGACAATCATTTTGGCAAATTCAAAAACCATGGTACAACTAGACATTGGTAATAAAGTTTTATGATAGACGTTGGCAAGGAATTATTTAGATGCCGGTTTTCTTTTATTATTGCAGACTGAAATTGCAGGTTTCTTGATAACCTCTCATTCGCTTTAGCGCTCGTACCTTTAAACAAGCCGTTTCCCAAACTCTCACAACACTGGTTTAACAATACAACAGTCTCACAACAAAATCAGATTTAAGACATATTATAAATGAAAAGGTTTCCTTTTATTATTTCCCAGTTTAATAAAACATTGCCGCACATTTCTTTTCTTTTATGCCAAATAAAATAGATACAACTAAATTGAAATTTCACCCGCTTCCCGCTCAGCAGAAATACAAAAAAAGTGGCAACAGTGACTGTGGTTTCACGTATTTAGGTTTAAACATTATTTGTATCATTACACTTGCAAGAGTTAGAAAAATGCAACACATTTAGAAAAATTTGCCATATTAATCAACAATTTTTTTTAACCCTAAAACCGTATTCTGGACAAATGTGGGCAAAATAGTTTTTTTTAGCTGTTGTTTTTTTTTATTTTGATTTATTTTGTTGAAAGTTGATTTATTTTTAAAAAATACTTCCCTTGATCTGAGCAGTACAAGTCTTGGCTACTTTTCCTAAGTTTTCCTCCTGAACACACACAATTTTTTTGACTCAATTCTACAATGTTAAGTGGGTGAAAAAAAAAAAAAACTCCTTAATCTTGTTTTGGGTCAAAAATGGGCACCCATAAAAATGAATGGGAAAAACTGTAATTTAGAGCATTCTAAAATAAGCCAAAATAAGACACCAGGTGACGGCAAAGTCACTTCATCTTTAGGTTTTAGCTCTAAGAACTTATTGGAATGATATTTTAATGTAGTTAAAAAAACATAAAATAAACATAATTTACATAGAAAATATGGTACTTTTTTAAGTAAATAAATTCAAAAATATCCCCAAAATATAAAAAAAACACCACAAATGGATAGACAAAACTTTATCGAAGACATTGATATAACATTTATAATAAATACAAATTAGGATCACACCTGAGTCCTCTGTGCCCACATTTGTCCACAATTACATAGCAGGTTTAAGGGCTATAAAGTGAATACGGTTTGAGGGCTACATTGCATACACATTTAGAGAAAGAGATGGTAAAATTGATACCATACCTGGTCCTCGCAACAGTTCTCCTTTCTCCGCTGGTCTTTCTCTTACGGAGGCCCCAAAGGGACAATGTGACAAAAAAAAAGAGATTGGAGGAAACATTAGTTGGCAAAGCTTTTGCGTTCCCCCAAGAAACTTTGAACTTTCTCTATAAACAAACACAAAGTTTCTTGGGGGAACACAAACAATTTGCTCGAGAACGCAAAAGGCTTATTTTTCCTCCCATGTCATATTTTTTCATACTCCACACCATGTCCCCTCTGTATCCTCTACATGAGGATTCATTTGCTATGACAGAGAACAACCTCATATGTTTTAGCCACGAAAAACACTTTGTGATCTCAATGGCTGTGGTCAGTGTGATTCGTCCTGTAACGTGTTCTCCGCGCAGACGGATGACTCGAGCTTTGGGGACGGTTTACGTAATAAATACGCCCACAGTATTTGTTTAGTCTGTTACCACCTCACCGCTTTCATTTGTAGTCTTTAGACACCTCAGATTTGACCGATCTAAGCTGGTTTGCTGTGTAACTCGCTGCTATCGTGTCACAGTATTGAGCTTCAGCGCCCCTGCTGTTTAAAACATGCATCGCGATTCCTTAAACCTCTCGACATGACACACCTTTTCCATTAAAAGACGATATTATTCCCCTTAAATTGATTTTCAGTACATTTATTACCTTTATAAAGGCAAAGTTTTTCTAACCCTATTAAATGTATGTCATGTTCTATGTCAAATTATTAAAACTCCATTCATTTAATTATTAATGAAATAAAGCAATGCATTAAACTAAATCGAATGAATCAGAGGCGTTTAATCCTGCTCAGAGAATTACAATGGTATAAGATAATGTGTTAAATATAAATGTTCAACAGAGAAATATGAAATGATGGCAAAAACAAAGTGACACTTTTTAAATATTAAACTAATACTAAGTCTTAATGAGTGAGTCATCGAGTCATTCATTCATTCAGTAACGAATGAGTCGTTGAATCATTGACTCTCATGTTTGGTTCAGTGACGAAACGGCGCTGTGTGTTGATCGATGTGTTGACCGTTGTCTTTGGTTTCAGCTATTATTTAGCGGCAAAATAAAGAAAACAATACTTTTTAAAGGAACACTATTTAACATTTCCTTTTAGTTTGTTCGAGCTGTTGTATAAAATCAATGTCACATTTGCAATCATGTGGATATTCGGGAAAATTGCATTCTTGCTTGTGTAAAAAACAAGAACTCACACAGGGTTTCTGTAGCGAAGAGAGTTTGTCTGAAGCTGATCTCCGTGTCAGTCATAAGTGCTTTATGTCCAGTATATCTGCACTCAGCCTTCACTCAGTTTTGACCGCTAAAGATGAGGTAATTTGATTGGACGTCACGTATTTGACCTTTTACGGCACTACCATTTTGCTTTTCGTCAGTCGAAGTGACGGTTTGCGTGTTAGAAATAGTTTGAATGCTATTTTAAGGTGGGATTGAATTGAATGAACCTAAACGTAGCATTTTGTTCACATACCCCGGTTTGGGAACCTACAGAATCCGCATCGATCAATCGACCTGACCTCACGACCCGCCTTCAGGATCCACGAGATCGAGAACGTCTTGTGTCGAAAAGGAAGAAGTGTGTTTGTTGACGGAGGTTTTCGTTCGGGATCCATCGGCCTGACCGTCTCTACTCCCACGGGAGATGAGTCCGAGTAAATGATTACTCTGAGGGGGTAATTAACAACAATCTGTCTTCAAACACTCATTTTGCTGGGCTACTTTGCCCTTCGTTTGCCTCTAATGTATAATTTCTCTCTCTCTCCACCCACTCACACATTTCTTCCCACCACAGGATTGTTTTGCTCTGTAGAGTAAATACCAGGAGCTCTAACAGAGAGGCAGGTTTTTGTTAAAGACCCTCCAAGCCGAGAGACGAGGGCCGAGGATCGATCGGCTGCGCTATTGGCAACATCCCTTTGAATAAAACACAGCACTATTGAGTTCACAATCCCCACTGGGCACAAGAATGGGGAGACATAACCTTTCGCATCGGGGCTTTGTGCGCCGAGCTTCGAGTCGTCCCCCCGACGGCCCCGACCTCCCCGCCGAGAGGAGAGAAGCAGAGTAAATGTCAGAGAGGAACGCAGGCACTTCAAAACACGCCGCTTTATCTCTTCCCTCATCCGGCCGAACCAAAGGCTCTGAACCGTGAGAGCGACCCTCAAAAACGCCAGATTTTAGGTTTTACAAATGTTTGGAATGATTAAGATTTCTTTTAATGTGAGACATCTACATTTGTTTGATCAAAAATACATTAAAACAGTTCATACAATGTTTGCAGGATTTTTTGAGGAATCGAAAGTTCACAAAAACAGTTTATTTGAAATATAAATCTTTACATTTTTAAATCTTTACATCACTATAAAGCAGTAGTTCACTTTAAAAAAAAAACTTTTGCTGATAATTTACTCACCCCCATGTCATTCAAGATGTCCATGTCTTTCTTTCTTCAGTCGAAAAGAAATTAAGGTTTTTGATGAAAACATTCCAGGATTTTTCTCCATATAATGGACTTCAATGGGGTCCAAACTGGGAGTTTCAGTGCAAACTGTTCAAAGGGATTTAAACGAATAAGGGTCTTATCTAGCGAAACGATCACTCATTTAATGAATAAATAACTAAGTTTAAGTTTTATAAGCTCAAATGCTCGCCTTGCTCTGTTCTGTGATGCGCGTTCGTGACTCTCCTGTTCGTCAAAATGAACGAATCTTTTTTAGAGTCATTTGGTTCGTTCAACGAACGAAATGAACGAGTTTACTCGAGAAAGGATTTGATCATTTTTATAAACAAGTTGGAATAGGAGAGTCGTTTAAAGCCCTTTAAACAGTTTGCACTGAAAGTGTCTTTTGGACTTTGAACCGTTTGGTCCTGAAAAAAGAAAATCCTGGAATGTTTTCCTCAAAAACCTTAATTTCTTTTCGAAATTGTAATATTATTTCACAATATTACTGTTTTTGCTGTATTTTTGATCAAATAAATGCAGCCTTGGTCAGCGGTGTAGTTGTGAAACGTACCGAAGTTGTCGTGTGAGCTGATTATTAATACATTTCAAGCAAAGGCCATCTCTGATAATGTAAGAAGAAAGAGACGAGAGCGTTTCATGCAGGACAAAAGTCTTGAAATTTTCCCATATATAATTTATTAAGTAATTCATTAGTGTTTTTTTTTTTTTAATCTATTATCTATGTATTTAATATTAAATAGTATATAGTTCTTCGTAATCCTGCCTCAGTTCCGTCTTGTTTTCGTATAAGCAAACGTGTGTGTTCTCTCAGAGGTCCTTGCTCTTCAGTTTGGCGGGGACGTACGGCAGGACAGTCTGCGTGCTCTTATCCGAAACCGTCTGTGTGCTGCTGTTGCGTAAGAGTTTTTTCCGGCAGCCCGGGTTTAGAAGACCTTTCCTCGGAAGCGTGTGAGAGCCGATCAGAGAGCGCTTCACCGGCGACGGGTCCGCGGACGCCGTTTCCCGACAGTTGTAGAGATCGGAGGAGGACAGCGGCGGGATCGGAGAACTGGCCAACGGACTCGGCTCGCTGTCCGTATCCGGCGTCCCGCACTCGCCTTTGTCGTCCTCCTCGCCGTCCTCCTCCTCGTCTTCGTCATCGTCGCAGCACAAGGCGTGGTAGAGGATCTTGTCGCTGAAGCGGACCCGTTCTCGAGTCCCGGAGGTTCGGGAGGTTTTCTGGCTGTGCGTTGAGCTCGACGCCTCTTCGCTGGAGGAGTCCGGTGTGATGATTAAAGGTCCGTTAGGGATGGGAAGACCCCCGTTCATCTGCGAGTAAACGCTTGCCGTCGCGGGCCTCGTCCGGGCCTCGTCCGGCTCATCCCTGTGCGCTTTCCGGTTCACCGACTCCAAGAAGTTGCAGAAGTCCCAGCCGTCCGAGAGCATGTCCTGGCCGAGGAAGTCCAGTCTGAAGGCCTCACCCAAACCTCGCTCGCTACTCGAAGTGCTGCTCGCCGTCGCCACCGTCCAGTCGTCCGGCTCCAGGTCCAAGTCGAAATCAGATGTGAGTTTGTCGATCTGACCCACCACCTGCGCGAGCGAGAGAGAGAGAGAGAGAGTGATGAAATAATGGGTTTTCCTTCCTTGATCATCAAAGATGCATTAGCATCACCCCGAAGGTCAGTCTAATTTAACTTTGGTCAACTTCAGTTCCTCTCGGAAAGTGATCCTCGGATCATGATTCATTTTATTAAACTGTTTGAACAAAAATGGAATTGAGTTGACTCACAGGGCCCTCGTTGTCCAACACAATACTCGATGGAAGTGTCAGTATATGAAATTACTTTTCACAATTATTTTGTGATTCCCAGCGTGGGCTTTCATGATTCGCTCAGAATCTATCTATCTATCTATCTATCTATCTATCTATCTATCTATCTATCTATCTATCTATCTATCTATCTATCTATCTATCTATCTATCTATCTATCTATCTATCTATCTATCTATCTATCTATCTATCTATCTGTCTGTTTATCTATCTATCTATCTATCTATCTATCTATCTATCTATCTATCTATCTATCTATCTATCTATCTATCTATCTATCAATCAATCAATCAATCTATCTATCTATCTATCTATCTATCTATCTATCTATCTATCTATCTGTCTGTTTATCTATCTATCTATCTATCTATCTATCTATCTATCTATCTATCTATCTATCTATCTATCTATCTATCTATCTATCAATCTATCTATCTATCTATCTATCTATCTATCTATCTATCTATCTATCTATCTATCTATCTATCTATCTATCTATCTATCTATCTATCTATCTATCTATCTATCTATCTATCTATCTATCTATCTACACACACATACAGTGCATTTGGGATCTTTCCTTTATTGAATATTTTTCCCTTAAAAAACACACGGTTGAACTCGGCTATATATCAAATGATGTTTAAATTGTGTTCAGTTTCAGAACCTATGATACATTTATTGCACATACACAACAATTATATTTTTATGCCATGGCAGATAACCAATGAATGTTATTCAAACCTTTTTTTAAGCAAAATCTGAATAGATCATAATTAAATACATACATAAATAAACACTGGTGAGTTTAGGCATCCCATACTTGTTCAGATATGCTCAGTAATAGATTTTAATTTTGAGATTTGCAAAAGATAACAATATTATGAAATTATTAACTTTAGATAACCATGCACAATACATTTCCAATCAATCAATAATCGGCTTACAAATGAGAAATTCTGTAATATGGGTCCAAACGGTTCAGATGTGCATGCTGAAATCATGCTGTTGATTTACGTTTCTTTCCCAAAGTTGGTCTCCTCAGTCCACTTCCGATCTGAATAAAGGCTATTTCTGTGGCCCTAAAAATGAGGATAATTGCATCTAAATGTTCTTCAGACCTGTGTAACACGGTTTCTTGGTTTAGGTGTGCATTTTTGCTGTCACTTTGTGGCATAAACACAGAAGGATCAGATGAAAATGCCCTGCTGGCATGAGGGATTAAAAATCTAATTCATTTATCCGGCACAATGACTCCAAAGGAGCAATTAGGAGCTCTAAATCCCTGATTACACCGCAGTGAAAGCCAGAGGAGGGCCCGTGTTTCCGTGATCCGCTCACTGATTTAACAGACGAGTTGCCTGAGACACTTTTTCTCATCTCTATCTGTAATCACTGACTGAACGGGTGATACTATATTTAAGCACGAGTTTGCTGTTGAGTTTGTATGGACCATTACAGCTTGACTTCACGTAATTGCTTCGTTTACTGTGTTATTGGACCTCCCTTTGTTTTAAGATGTTTTCCCACCCAATATTGTGCATGAATGGAGAAACATGATGTCCTGCATGATTGAAACCACTCACAAAACCTCGTTAGTGAGAGATGGCACATTTATTAGACCAATCAAATGATGAATTGGCTCAGAAACAAGGTTTTTGGATTGAGTGACATTTTTAATAACGTTCCCATCATCACTGCCACCCAATAGTTGTCCAACTCTGTCTGTCATTGTCCAAATAAATCATATAACGACTAGTTATGATAACTTACAGCTGTTTTTAACATTGATGTTAATCAGAAATGTTTAAACCCCTTTGGGTTTCAGTCTATGCACATAATAATCACGTCTTTGCCTGAGCAGTGTACCGTATGGATGAAGGCTGGGAAGCTTAAAAACACACACAGAGGTGCCGAGCATGGGAGATGAATTGCTGGCCCAAGGGCGGATGAGATAGCTTTGTTTACTAGATTACTCGTCCCGCAAAAGCAGGATTTAATTCAATCAATGTTTTCCGGATAGTCTGGCACGGATAGACACATTTCACAAACCCCTGTCATCCAAGAGAGGAGCATAATTTTATCAATATTATGTCCGTTATGACTCATGCCATTTTTAATATTAATTGGAAGTGCAGCACATCCTCACAGGAACAAGTGCACTGTCAGTAAAAGATATTTCCAATTCCAATTGAAAGCTGAAGTGTGTAATTTCTGAGCCTCTGGAGGCACCACACGTACACTCTTAAATATAAAGTTTGCAAAAGAGTTTTTGTTTTTTTCACAGTGATGCCGCAGAAGAACATTTTTAGTTCCCGAAATAATCCTTTAGTGAACAGTTCTTAGAGATGACCTATTGTGCTTTTGTGTATCTGTCTTGAGTTGCTGGAACGAACACGTCACAATATTCCTCATTATAATAATTCATGCGCAGAATAAAGGGGCGGGGCCTGGTTGAGTTAGTTAGTAGTGTGTTAAACTGGTGGTTATTGTCATTTCCCAAACACACTCGAAGCGTTCGACCAATCACAACACACTGCTCCAGCCGACCAATCAGAGCACAGTGTGGCTTTCAGAAGGAGGGGCTTCAAGTAAACAGAGCGTTACTGACAGACTGGGAAGAGAGGAGCCGCAACAATGGAGAATATGAGGAGAATAATCAACATTCAAGCAGGAAAACCTGTTCTACAACATCAAGACTTGTATATTCACTATAAATAACAATTTTTTTTTGGCATTATAAGAGGTTCCATAGATCCACCATAATGACAAATAAATAACCTTTATTTTTTTAAGAATAAAAGGTTTCTTGAACACTCCCCGTCTGCTACTGGTCATCAAACACGACCTCACTCGATTTTGCTAAATCGTACATATTTTACGAATTAGCCAATTCGTATGAATTTGTACGAATGACCTACCCCTGACCCCGCCCCTAAACATAACCGTCACGTGGGTTTAGACAAATCGTACAAATTCGTACGAGTGAGGTCATATGAATTAGTACGAATTAGCCACTTTTGAATCACTCGTACGAATTCGTACGAATTGGTCGTGAGATAGGGTAGGGTAAAATAAATCCTGATTTATTACTCCCAAGCTGGGAAATGTACAGTTTATTTGGGTCATTGGCACTTGACTTATTTTTTTATTCCAAAACAAACACTGTATCACAGCTCATATTTGATTTATATTATTCAATGCATGCTTATTTCACATATTTTTATACAGCATAGTCCCGTTTAGCCATCTAAATCCATAGTTTGAGCCCTCACCTGCTGTGTCGGCCCGGATGTCTATCTACATTTAACACAGGCAGAAGAAAGTGTGTTAACACTGCACAAATTACCCCCCTTCAAAGAACAACACAAAGTGCTAACAGAAACAGAAAACGGCTAATTTTGCTGATAATGTCCGTTGCGCGGCGTAATCATGGAAGCAGCCGCCTCCGTTCCCGCGGCTCGCTGGCATTCCTCGGGGTAAACAAAATCATTCAAATGAGCGATGCCCTCACCCCACAACAGCTCCTGAAGCAATTTAACTATAGCAGCGCAAGCTTAAAGGGTCTGCGAAACCTTTCTAGGTCACAGATGGGCTCGACGCAGCCACAATGAGCAGTAATCCCCGAGCCTTTCCTCCGAGATGCGCAGCTATGGAGTAAATTATTGGGTAAACAGATTGCCTAAGTGTAAAGGATGAATGAACACATCAGGAAGAAGTCATTAGCGTTGGGACACATTGCGTTTTAAATGGAAGGAGCACAATGAGAACCTGCGATAGTAATTACAGTCTATAGGGTAAAAATCACATCCTTTTGTCGGCCTCGGCCCTCATAATGGCAGAGATTGCAGCTGGATTATTCATCTCAGGAAAGATTCCTCTTCCCACTCCGGCGCTTTCAGCTGACGCTCGGATAAATTACACACCGGCTCCAGCTCCAGGAAAACTGCACGTTGTGGGCTGAAAGACCTGCAGTTTGCAACGATTATATCTGGTATTGCAAATGACACCAAACTGGCCTTTCTGCATTTCTGAAAAACAATATGTTTATAATAAGCAAGTTAATATTGAGATACATTTTAGATACAAAAATAAGCTCCCTGAATCTTCAATAATCTGATTGCTTCAAACACACCAAATAATTCAGTAAAAAACACAGATGAGAGATTCTTTATGAGAAAGTCATTGAATCATTCACTCAATAGTCTATTATAAAGTGTTTCTAATAGATTATACTACACTATATTGGAATATATAAATCAAATAATGGCACAATAACATATGGTTTGGTAGGACTGAATCACAGTACTTTAACAGTGTGTGTTTACTGCTAAATTGCAACTTATATAAATCCTAGAAACGCTAAACGTATGTTTAAATCATTCACAGATTAACTGTTGCGTATGGAAGCTTGTTTCCGCCACTGAATAAAAAAATTATTATAATAATTGCGACTTTTTATCTCACAATTGTGAGATATGAAGTCAGAATTGTGAGAAATAAAGTCGCAATTGCGAGATATAAAGTCACAATTACGAGATATAAAGTCGCAATTCTGAGAAATAAAGTAGCAATTGCGAGATATAAAGTCACAATTGTGAGAAATAAAGTCAGAATTGTGAGAAATAAAGTCGCAATTCTGAGATATAAAGTTGCAATTCTGAGAAATAAAGTCAGAATTGTGAGAAATAAAGTCGTAATTGCGAGATATAAAGTCAGAATTGTGAGAAATAAAGTCGTAATTGCGAGATATAAAGTC